CAAATGAGTATCAGGTGCGATGTGTAAATGTCGCCGCTAGGAAGACAAAGGCGGCCGGGGGTGGTGCTGGCCACTCACCCGTGCCGATCTTCATAGGTGGTCACGAACAGCGCCTGCCCCAACAGTCTGTAAAGGCTATACGGGGGAATCTATGTCTTTTAGTTATTGTTTTAAGAAACCAATTTCTTGAAAGGGTCACATAACCAGCAATGAGAAAAATATATAGACGTAAATATTGCGCAAGTCAATTTCAACTTAATTACACCCTGAGCACGAGATATATTGCGCGTCTTAGTTTTCGTAGTTAATACAGTCCTTGTACACTGGGCCTGAATCTCTGATGGCAGCTGTCGACACAATGGGGGCACGTTTCTTAACCCCCCCCCCTGCCTCTCTCCACCCAGCGGTGTAAATGGTACACCATGGTTAGTCAATCTGCAGCTCATGTGTGTGTGGTAGGGTAAAGTGTAGAGGTACACACCCCTTACACAATACAAAAAAATATGTTGTTAATTGGCACCTGCTTGGGACTCGGCGGCGAGATGTTAACGACCTCGCCTGGTACACAGGAGGTCGTGGGTTCGATCCCAACCCTGGGGCCTGTATATTAGGAGTTTTGCGGTGTCTCCACTTCTCGTGGTCGCATGGATATATCTGCTCGTTCTCCAGCTTTCCCATCAATATTTATAATCAACATCACGCGTTTAGAGTATTTGGCTGCTCTAAATGTCCACGTGATAAGCCACTTGGTTGAGCTTTCATTTGCAGCCAGGTTGCTTCTGTAAAAGAGCTCCATCGCTCCGTGGGTGTTGCCTGGCAAAATAAAAGTAGCAGCAGACTCAGCCTCTGAGGATGCCATCAACAGCAGCACCGGGGAGACAGAGGCAGCCCGTCGCGCGTGGTGCTAACACCCCACTCCGGTCCTCATTTGCCATGGCAACCTTAGTAGGTGCTCAATTAGAGCAAAGGCCAGATAGTTAACACGAAGGATCTTTGTATTTCTGTGAGTTGGTATATGCAAATTGCCAAATAAATGCAGCGGTGGTGTCGTCGTTATCACACTGGGTTGCCAACTCAATTGACCGAGTTCGATTCCCGCTCATGGGCCACACCAGTGACGAATGTCTGAACCTGTCCTGGGCCTCCTCTAGGTCGACTCAGCGTCAAGATGAGTACCTGGTGCGGAGTGTAAACATCGCTACTAGGGGAGACAAAGGCGGCCGGGCGTGTTTCTGCCCACACCACCGCCGTAATGAGCCGTGCCAGCCTTAAGGTGTGCTCATGTGCAGGATCATCTTTTGCAGTCTGCAATACTATTGTCCTAAATTGACATTCAGTTTCCTGGAAAAGAATATGTTTTATATTGACAATGAATTGGCCACAGTGCACAGCAGTAAGGGGTGCACTTCAGGTAATCTCAGCCTTAAATAATGAGAGCCCAGTGCTGAGCTTTAAGAGCACCATGGAGCCCAGGCAGACTTTGAAATGCTTGTCTTTAATGTACATAATCTTAAAATGTATTCCAAGGGCCCCTCAGGGTCTGTCCGTGTGCGAGCGTATATACAATGGTGGGTGAGCAGTAGTGCAGTGGTTAGCGTGCTGCGCTACGAATCCGGTAACCTGAGTACGATTCTCTGTCATAGTCAACACCAGTGACGTGTATCTGAACAAGTCCTCGGCCTCCCCTAGGTCGACTAAGCCTCAAATGAGGACAGTACCTGGTGCGCCACTAGGCAGACAAAGGCAGCCAGGCGTGGTGGTGGCCACCCACCCCCTTGTGTACCTTGCCTGCCTTTATGGGTGCTAGCTGAACAGCCCTTGCCCCAACAGTCTGTTGAAGGCTATATGAGGCATCTTTGTCTTAATACTGAAACATTCTAGGAGTGTGACCCTGCATTTTTAACCAAAATTTGTACATTAACAGTGCACCGTGATAGAACAGGATCGGGGAAATGTCACGTAGCCCTCATGGCCCACGGGCTGATTTATTCCATTGTCAAAATTACGAGGTAACAAAAGTGGAGATTAAACGTTGAGTTTTATAAGGGCACCACGGGGTGACCAGCCCCTCCCCACCCAGCCCCACACCCCCCCCATCCTTGGATGCACGACGGACGGACACAGTAATCCCCTGTGGACTGGTGTAACCCGAGGTTCCTACCACTATAAGTGCCCTCCCTGTGCTTGTGTCATGTCGCCCTCCTCATAGGAACTCCCGTGTCAGTTTGAAGCAGGAGCACTGTTCCATCACCGGGTTAGAGGTCATGGGTCGGCAATCCTCCGAAGGGGTCAGACCTTTCAAACAGCAATGGGAAAATTGCACTCTTGGCTCAACGCTGTACCGCCGATAGAAATGAGAAGTGTCTGATGGTAATGATCTTCGAAAGGGGATTTAACATTCTCGAAGCTTATGTCCTCCAAAATGTAAAGAATCATCCATAATACAGGTTTTTTTTGTGGGGGGTTAGATCGCGTAAATATAAATGCTGTGTCGTTAAACTCGCCACCACCCGATACAGTCCATTAGTAAGGTTTGTCATGTAAACAAAGCGTGCCTATTCGTTACTGGCACAGCACCACGGTGTGTCGGAGCGCAGCTCCAGAATCATGCGTGTTTAGCGCAGAGCCTATCCGCAGAAGGCAACCTAAAATCGTCTTGTTTGTTTTCCATTGAAGGTTAAACATCAGCCGGCAACGCTGCCGCGTGCTGGCTGCAAGTCGGGCCAATTTCATTGCCGCCTGCAGTGTGCGAGTCTGTGTCACGGCGATGTTCTCGTGACAGGTTGTTGCTTGTTTTGTTTTTTTCCGTCATTCCTATGCGGGTACGAACACAAGGGCCGTGTTCATCCGAAAGTGACGCATGCCCGGTTTTACTCTTGCAGTCACCCCCACGTAGACCGTCTTAAGGGACACGGATAGCTGATGCCCTCTGTTGGTGCAACCTATTTTTTGCTTATGTATTGTCTCCCTAGTTCTTCTCTCTGAGCTCACGTTTCCTCCATCGTATACGATCTGTGCTCTCCTTAATTTCGTTGAATATTCCTCCAGATGGCCGAGCACTGCCTTCCTATTTGCTACCTCTTGGAATTATTCTGAACAGCATTCCCTCGAGAGCAGCGGTTCTTAAACTGGGGGGCGCGAGATGCCCTTTCTGGGGGTGCGAGACATGGCCACATTTTTTTTCGAAGGTAAATAATCGAAAACACAAATTAAGCACGGGCACTAAGGTACAACTTACTTCGTTTCATAAAACCCTCTGTGTATTTATTGACATATCTTTATTAACGCTTTGGAACCAAAGGAGTGCAAGTCTGCAGTAAAAAGGTGAAGAACCACTGCTCTAGAGCTTCCTTCAGCAAACCTTCGCAGGCTTCTAAAAATTGTTCAAACCAGAATGAGTGGGGTTTTTTTGGTCCACTTTGAATTGCTCCAATCAGACTCCTTGTCGCCATGCACTATCCCTCGTCCTTTCCCGTAGCGCTTTCCTTATTTCTTTCGCTCCGCACGATTTCTCTCCACTTTGACGCCACAAACCACGTCTCGGAACTTTACAGGTGCTTTTTTGACGTCCTTTTATTCCTCGAGTGTCCACGTCTCTACTGAATACAACACCGTTGCTCTATGCTCAGGGTTTCTCACGTCCCTCATTTATTTCCCTGCTCAACCGTCTTATCAGCAGCGCCTTGTTTTTAATTAACGTCACCCCCTCATGGTGACATTCGTTAAATGTTCATTCTTTGTTTAGTTTGTCGTCCTTCCCTCCGTTCCCCACCTCTGATTAGCACGATTGCCTACATACGGTGCGAAAGAAGTTCAATATACATACTTGGTAGTTTTAGTTGGAATGTTTTTCGACCATCTGGCATTTTCTGTCAAAATATTTCCCAAATATGTTTACCCCTCCTCCTCCTCCCCGCTGTGATATTGAATATGCTCCACCAGTTAATTGCTTTTGTTATCCATTACTTTTATAGTCATTACAAAAACCTTTGATATATTTTAAAGATATTTCCAAGTATTTAGACTCTTCACAATTCACCAATATGTTGCTAATCGTATTTAATACCAACTGAAATAATTATATATATTTAAAAAATGTCTTTAGAGAATTTTATTTACATATGTGAAGTCAATTTGACATAATTATAATTGCAGACCATTTTAAAAACTTAATACAGGATTTGGTTTGTGGTGGTACACCATGATTTATTCATTTTAATTATTTGTTTGTATTTGGGTGATTTTTTTTACCTTTCTTGTACTTTGCATGACTATCGTGTGTTCGTACTGTTTGTTGTTGTAACGTTCCTACCCGCCCCTGCTGGACATCTGTGAAAAAGAGCTTTGTAGGCCATCGGATTTCTCCAGTACAAATTCTGATTCTGTTATGACCACCTCCCAAGGACAGCAAAGTGAGCCAATGGCGATTGTGCTAACCACTCTTATGCAGCTGCCATAAAAACGCACAGAGATAACTGAGTGTCCCAGCAGCTACTGCCTGTGTCCGTGCACTGAGCCAACACTGTGGAGATGCTGAGTTTGGAATTACTGCAGGATTTTCAAGTTTAGCAAGTTAGTGGTCTTCAAACAGTCACGAATGTAGGTACAAAAAAAAATACGTACTGTATTTTGATTCTCACTTAATGAGGCCTAGCCCACCTCTGAGAGCTACATTTTATAACATTACTGATATGTGGCAAACCATTCTTACAGAGGATGAAGGAACACCATCCAGTGCCGGGTAAGGGAGGTCTATTTTTTTTTTCAAAGTGACTCAGAAGTAGTTCACCATGCTCTATTTCAACGGCCATTCCCCAACATGACGTCCCGTCGCCCGACGGAGTTATATAATGGCGTCGTCATTTTACCAGATGACAAACACAATTTTAAAAAACCAGTATGAAACGTAATAACAGGCTAAAATGTGAGAACTACGAAGTAACGTCGCGTGCTTTACGTATGCTTGCGCGCGTGTTGCTTGTTTTTTTGCCCACGAGCAGCTGAAACGCTTTCGCGAGGCGGAGAGTCAGTGCCGGCCCCTCGTGGAAAAGAACAAACGCCTCTCGCGCAAGAACGACGAGCTCAGCTGTGGCCTGCAGCGCCTGGAGGACAAGCTGAAGCTTCTCACGAGGGAGAACTCCGAGATGGTAACCGCAACCGAACAGAGGCCCTCACAGCTGAGAAATCGACACGGGGAAAAACATTTTTTTTTTGCCGCGCCGCGTCGGGAAGCGGTGCTCAGAGCACAAATGGCAAACGAGCAAGCGAGCGAACGGATAAGAACTCAACACGCGACGTTAATGAGGCTGCCCAAAATGGGAGAGAAATATCTCGCAGACGATGTTTAAGGTAATAGCCCTTCTTGCCAAAAGAGGCTATAAAGTTTTTTTTTTTTAATTTCAACTAGGTAAGGCCCACTGAGCTATGTAGTGCTTTTTCAGAAGCGACCTGGCCACGAATGATACAGTACTTCAACGAAGTGGCCTATCACGTGGAAATGTATAGTAGCAAAATACTCTAAAACGTACGTTTCTAATTGTGGAGGGAAAAAACCCGAGTACCCGAAGGAAATCAACGCGATACATCAGGCGTAAGAGTCGAGATCGAAACCATGACCCCCCGCATGCCAGGTTAAGTAGTAAACATCTCACCACCATGGTGCCCTAGATTAGCAAGCCCTCCGCACTCTCCGATGAGCAAGTGACATTGCCCAAAATATCGCCTTCTGAGAGTTGGAAGCCTTGACATGAATACTTACGGAGAATACCTCTCCTGGTATGATGCTGGTGGTATTCCCTACAAGAATGCCATACCTATGGTGTGAAAATCAGTTGTCATGGAAACCAATCGCTGAATTTGAAGAATAAAGATGAGTAACAGTAATCAGATAGTTGATGGGAAATTACACAACTGGGGCAGGTTCACTTCACACATCGTCATGTACATTCATGTTGAATTTCGAACTTAATTTGACCATATTCTTGGTTCTTTCGGTAAAGTCACGTAGAAGGGAAACAATAAAATAATACATAAAAATATATAAAACATTATTTTATTGTTTCCCTTCTACGTGACTTTACCGAAAGAACCAAGAATATGAATCCCTGCAGTCACGAAAGCTTTAAATCTAAATTTAATTTGACCAATTTCATATCATCATAGAAGCTCTGGCCTGGCATTCTGGTTGCAATCAGAGCGCATTTAGCAGTGTTCATTAAGACGCTGTCTTTCCGACAGCTCTGTTCTTCACCTGAGGACGGCTGCTTGCGTTGTGGCCGAAACGTCGTGAGAATTTTATTATGTTTTATTTTTATTATTTTATTATTTCCCTTCTACGTGACTTTACCGAAAGAACCAAGAATATAATATTTACATTATGAGACCTCCTTTGCCAGAAAAAAAGATATAGGAATAAGTTTTACCCTTTTAACTGGCACAAAAACTGACACCTTTATTCAAGGCATCATGTTTGCAATAACCACAACACAAGCAGTCAAAATGCAAACAAAAGAGACAACTCTGATAATATGCACTGTCCTTGAATTTGATTGGTCCACACCCGAGACAGCTTTTCTTAGAGCCCAGTCTCCACTGGTGTTGGACCAGAAGATGCCTTTTGGCGCCTTTTGGCGTCTTCTGGTCCAACACCAATGGAGACTAGGCTCTAAGAAAAGCCGTCTCGGGTGTGGACCAATCAAATTCAAGGACAGTGCATATTATCAGAGTTGTCTTTTTTGTTTGCATTTTGACTGCTTGTGTTGTGGTTATTGCAAACATGATGCCTTGAATAAAGGTGTCAGTTTTAGTGCCAGTTAAAAGGGTAAAACCTATTCCAATATAATATTTCATCATGTCTGTAGCCAGAGAAAGCTTTCAACACAGACGCATGTGCTGGGTGCAGTGGTATACACCTGCAATACCTTGACTTGCATTGCAGGGTTGATGGCTCACAAGGAATGGGAATGCACTCTCCAACTATTATTCAGTCAAATCTCTTTGGCTTCTCTATCGAAAGCTGTCGCTTATTTGATAATTTTTTCCTCTTTTGGGCCGCAGTGTCATTAACAGATGTGGTGAGTTGTTGTTGTAACCGGAACAGGGATTTAACACGTGTCTTTTTTTTGCGACCAATGTTGTTCATAATAAAGGTTTCCGGGTTAGATTCACACGAATATAAATGTGTCGTATTCTTAAGTAATACACCTTTTTAATTGCACGGATATTCTAGACATCATATATTGATTAACTGTGGTTCACCCATCTGGAAATATGTACTGCATATTTTCAGATTAACATAATCCATGCTAATGTATGTGATTATAATAACCCACCCCCCCGATCTTTGCACCTGATAGGCTCAGTGATGATGTTATCTTGCTCTATTTAAGACCGGAAGAAGCAGGAAGACGTCTAGACAATTTGTCCAATCCCCTGATGAAGCTGGTCGTAATGTCACGGTACTCAAGTGCAAATGTTGTGGGCATACTCGCCATCGCAAGGGTGTGTGCTGAAGTAGTCGCTACTCGGCACGTTTCGTTCATTTGACATCCCCCTTACTAATCGGCCGTGTCAGGTGGTGGTGGTGGTGGTGGTTGCGGCGGCGGTGGGTTAACGACGCGTTTATGTTGAACGCGATCTCAACCTCCGTCGTCGCGCAGAAGCAGAGGTGTACAGCCAAGGAGGCCTTGAGGAGGCCGAGCTCACTCAACGACCTGGAGCAGTCGCAGGAGCAGCGCGAGATCGAGTTCCTGCGCATGCAGGTCATCGAGCAGCAGAACATGATCGACGACCTCAACCAGGTGGGCGCCGTCTTGCCGAGTCGCGTCCGCGCGCAGCAGCGGCAGACGCACGTCGCGTTTTTGTGTCCTGCTCCGGGACCTCCGGTTGTTTTTTTCTTCCCCTTCACGTTTAGAAAACGCGCGTTGCGATTATTTAGATTGTTTTGCTGCTATAAATGTCCAAATGCATGGGCCCACTTTGCTGAGCCGCCGTTTGTGGCCAGGTTGTTTCTGAAAAATAAGTTAATACCTCAGTGGGCTCTGCCTGGTAGGATGGGGATGGTTTAGTTTTTATTGATGTGTGTTTGAGTGATTTGTTTATCTTTCTGACAATGTGCACTACTATCATGTTTTTGTATTGTTTGTTGTAATGTTTTACCCGCCCTTACTGAACATCTGTGAAAAAGAGCTTCATAGCTCATCGGATTCCTCCTGTATAAATACATATTCTGATTCTGAGTTCATCGATTGGCAGGCCAGGTTAAGTATGGGTATTCCCACCTCTTCCAAAACGTCTGGCCAATGTTTGAAGAGTTGGCCTAACATACGCTTTAAGTTTTTTTCAGTTTTCAGTTTCATTTATTTGGTATAGCTCTGTGAGCCATTCGGCTCTTGAATCGGGTGCAACTGCAACAAACAAAAAACAAAAACATGAACAAGAAAACATCTTAAAGTGACTATGTGACTTTGTGCAAACAGAAAATCCAAGAAAAGACAGCAAAATATTGCAGAAAAAGCACCGTACACCAACGCTGTGTGCAAAAATCCCAGTGGGATGCAAGTCAAACAACAACAACAACAGCACAAGACATATTCTTGGTTCTTTCGGTAAAGCCACGTTGAAGGGATAACAATAATAAAAGAATATATAAAACAATAAAATTCTCACGACGTTTCGACTGCAACACAAGCAGTCATCATCAGGTGTGAAAACCAACGGCAAGAACATTTGAAACCAACGGCAAGAACATTTGAAAGAAGTGTTCTTGCCGTTGGTTTTCACACCTGATGATGACTGCTTGTGTTGCAGTCGAAACGTCTTGATAATTTTATTGTTTTATATATAATTTTATTATTTTATTGTTAACCCTTCAACGTGACTTTACCGAAAGAACCAAGAATATGAATCACTACAGTCACGAAAGCTTTAAATACAAATTTAACCACAAGACAACTTATATTAAGGCCATCAGTCTAACTCCGTACCACAACAAACAAACATGGCCAAACCAAAAAACGTTTCGAAATCACCAAAATAAAGCCATAAAAGCAATGTAACAGTGATCATAGGAACTGTGACCGAATTTTCACAATAAACGACATAAACAACATGTATCACCAAAGATGGACGCTCTCTATAGCTCCCGCTAGTGCAGGCCCTTCCTCCAGCAGTCCTGTGAGTAAGACATTTCAGCTCTGCACTTTTGCCTTTACCTAACAGTGAGGCCGATATATTTGTCGATGAGTCGTGCAGTGGACTGTGTGTGTCTCTCGTTGCCTGCAAATCATGCCTTCAGAGCTGGTGTAGTTCCAAAATAAATAACGGATTTTTGCCATCAAATTCGTACAAAGGAAAATAAATGGCATTCTCTGCATCCCCCTGTTATCAACAAAGCCTCGTAAAATTTTGAGGAATGACTCCGGAAGGCAAATAATCCACCTGCTTTGTGTGTCTTCCAAATACAGGTCATACTGCTAGCCACAGAAAACACTCATTTATTATCAGCCGTGATCAAACTACTGCTGGATGAAGGCCTTTCTCATGGTTCTGCGATGAAAAATGTTGCAGCTGCACCTCAGCTGATTTCATCAACACTAGTTCGTGCTGTGTGGGTGCTGTGTGCAGTCAGCTCGTGCTGTGCAAATAACCAATCTTGAAATTGGAAGGTTAAAATGTAATTTCCCATTCAGGAGCCAATGCAGCCCATCACATATTTGGTGTAGATAAAGTGTTTACCGCTTAGTGGGAAGCCAAAAGCAGGAGTAATTGTATCATTAGATAACATTTTATCAATATGTAAAATGACTTCTGCTAAAGGAATGTTCAATAGTCATATTTGGCACAGTTATAAAAGCAGAGAAGAGCAATGAACAATGCTAAAGGCCAGTTGACTTTTCTCTACCCATCTTAAGCAATTATTGTCATCTCTTTCGCCTAGTACGAAGGAAGCTCGTGGATTCGGTCCCGACCGTGACAATGCCTGCTGTATATTTGGAGTTCACAAGGTCTCTCTCCCCGTGGACACCTGGATTTTTCTCTGGGTCCTCCGGTTTTCGCCTCCACGTTTTAGACTATTTGGCTGCCACTGCGATGAGCTACCATGTGCAACCAGGTTGCCTCTGCATAAGAGTTAACAGCTCAGTGGGCTTTACCTGGTGAAATAAAATTGTTTCGTTTATCAAACTCACTAAACATGAAGAACCTAAATTTAGATTTAAAGCTTTCGTGACTGCAGGGATTCATATTCTTGGTTCTTTCAGTAAAGTCACGTAGAAGGGAAACAATAAAATAATAAAAATATAAAACAATACAATTCTCACGATGTTTCGACTACAACACAAGCAATCATCATCAGGTGTGAAAACCACAGCAAGAAAATTTGAAAAATAACCGCCACTTTTTTCAAATTTTCTTGCTGTGGTTTTCACACCTGATGATGGTTGCTTGTGTTGCAGTCGAAACGTCGTGAGAATTTTATTGTTTTATATTTTTCTTATTTTATTGTTTCCCTTCTACGTGGTGACTTTACCGAAAGAACCAAGAATATGAAGAACCTAGTTTAAATATGAGCCTGAGATTTCAATTCAGTCTCTCAGTGGGGCTGGCTTTGCGCTATCAGAGGTATTGTATTCGCCTCGCTTAGTCTGAGCCGTATTTAAAGACTTTGTATTTAGCACAACGACTGGCTCTTGAAGACGTCAGTCTTACTTGCCTTGAATTAGACGTCTGGCAAGGGTTTGGAATTTATTTGTTCTGCTCTGCTCTCAAATTTGTTTCAGGAAAGAGAAAAATTAATGCGCATTGTGAAACCAGTCCGGAAAGACCTCAAGCCCGTCAAGGTGAGTGACAATACTCCTGCAGAGAATATCCTTGACAGAGACCTGACCCAGTTCGCAACACCAAGGTCAAAGTCTGACACCCGTGTCATGTATCGCACACTGGCATGTTCATTGTGCAATGATGTCACCCATTTTGAATCTCGTCCGCAGGGAGATATTACTGCCGTTGATTGCAACTAATGTTTAGCTGTGCCTGCAATGAAATATAATCGCTGGCATTGATATGCTTAACGAATGATCCATTTTCGGTGTTGTAGACAGTAGAGCTCCTGCTAGCCATAACTCATCATTACCCACGACTCTCATTATCCACGGAAACTGCAGGGTCTCAAAAAACTGGTATTATCTACAGCCCTATTCCTGTTATTCGTGATTATCCACGGATTTTCCCGTCCTAATTTGCGGAATGGTTATCCTGTGGCCCACACATCTATGTGATTATTGATGAAGCTGGTTGTAATTACTGGCGAAACGTCGTACTCAGTTTGTGAATGTTGTGGCTTGGCTCTCCATCACACCGGTATGCTGTACTAGTGACGAATTGGCCACGTTCTGTTTACGTGACAACCCTTACTAGTTGGCTGTGTTGGGTGGTGGCAGGTTTTGATGACAAATTTATATATTTAAGCGATCTAACACAAAAAAAACCTCTATTATGGATGTTATTGGTCACGAAAGCCTACGTGTTAAAACGTTTCATGCTCGCAAAATTATAATTTTACCATACAGTACTACACACTGTCACAGTAACATTGTACGCAGTGCAAATTCGGCAACTCCCCTTTAGACAAAACAAATGAAGGTGATTTCTGAACTTTAACTGGTTGATTACAGTAAATTCTAAATGATCCACCTCCGACTAGGGGTCATTATGCTTTTTATGAATATATATTTTTTTAAACACATGTGTGCCTGGTTCCAATTCATCTGTTGATGTATTGCACTGCAGGGAGTTTGCTCCCTTCCTCCACTCTGCAATTGCTGAACACAAATGGAAATCAACATTCCTCTGGCTCCTTTATCCCCGTTTCAAGTCAAAGTTCAGGGAGGAGATGAATGCTGGGTGTCATGTAAGGGGAGGTCATGTTTAAACAACAAGATGACAGGTACCCAGATGAGCTAAAAGAATGCGTGCGGACAACGCACGAGACGTTGAATCATTCGAATGTGTGCGAGCTACATGGGATCCGTGACGTCTTGGGGACAAAAATATTGTTAGAAAATGTTGCCCAAAAGAGCAAACTTTATATGCAATGCATATTGATGCGGATGGCTTATCATGTTCAGCCGAGGCTGTTGACATTGAAATTACAACATGAGGCCTCCTTTGCCAGTAGCAAAATATAATAATAGGTGTTTTACCCTTTTTTCTGGCAACAAAACTGATTTTTTTTTACAAGGAATCATATTCACATTACCCACAATACCTGCAGTCAAAATGCAAACAACATTTTTTTATCAGACTGTGTTTTTTGTTTGCATTCTGACTGCAGGTATTGTGGTTAATGTGAGCATGAGTCCTTGTAAAAAGGTTTCAGTTTTGTTGCCAGAAAAAGGGTAAAACACCTATTATTATTATTATTAAAATTACAATTATCGTAATCATCATCATCATACTCCGTGATTTCTGGTGGTATTAGCGGTGGTCGACTCTGAGTACCAGCTTGCCGGTATTGACCAGAATGGCCATTGAAACGTTTTAGATATACATTGGCCATACCTTTTAATGACAATGCAACTTGGCTGGCCTGAAATCCAACATGGGGCTCCGCATTGCCCAGCACCACAAAGATTCCATGATTCTGCTCTCGCCATGATCCTGCTGGAAATTATTACATGCGGTTCAAAGAATGGAATCACGATTCAAGGTGAGGAATCTCGGGGCTTTGCCCAGCCTTAGTCCAAATGACATTTTCTCAGTTCTGCTTCTAATTCTAAAAGGTTTTATTTTTGCCTATTCGTGCCCTGTCATTGTTTATGGCTGGTAACTTTATCACACCGGTGCTTTTGAGTTACCTTGGAAGGCATCTAACATTTTTCGAAGATTCTATACAGCCTTAATACATTTCACAGGAGTGTCCATTATATGATGGGTTGAATATTTCACTTTGCGAAAGACAGTGGAGATGTATAAATACTGACATTCTGAACTAAATAGGGTCATTAACCTGGAAAATTTATTTTGTAATCAGATTTGGGTTGTACACAGATGTATTTTCCTAGCTGGTTGAGGTTTTATTCAGCATGTGATGTCAAATTCAGGTCTGGCTGGTAAATCAGATTACTCGACATTCACTGCATTATTAGCTTAACACATTTACTTCTGCTATGGTTTCTTCAATACATTGCTTTGGCTTTTGTTCCTTTACCAGTGCTATGGTGATGACAGTCTGCACTATTCACTAGTTTTGTACCCTCATTTTACATCTTGCGACTTTCACATATGGCAACGGGGTTATATGGTTCAAAGGGCTTACGACTATGCCAGTGTAATGAGTCATCTTTGCTCAGATCGTCGAATTCAGGAAAATCAAATTATTGTGTGTGTAGATATGATTGCCTTATCTCCAGTCACAATTGACTGCACAAACAATTGTCATTTAAATGTGATGTTTCACTTGACTAGGATTCTGGTCACCTACAAGAGCTCTATTTGTAACATTTAATCAATGATCAATGCATGCTGAACCTCGATGTAAAGCTTTCGTGACTGCAGGGATTCATCTTCTTGGCTCTTTCGGTAAAGTCATCACGTAGAATTGAAATAAAATAATTAATATAAAACATAATAAAATAAAAATTCTCACGACGTTTCGGCCACAACACAAGTAGCCTTCCTCAGGTGAAGAGACAGAACTGTTGGCAAGACAGCGCTTCAGTGAATACAGCCAAGCTTTGGCCGCGTCTTTTAAGCTGCTCCTCCCACCCAGCTTAAAAGACGCGGTCAAAGCTTGGCTGTGTTCACTGAAGCGCTGTCTTCCCGACAGTTCTGTCTCTTCACCTGAGGAAGGCTACTTGTGTTGTGGCCGAAACGTCGTGAGAATTTTTTATTTGATTATGTTTTTATTTTAATTATTTAATTTCAATTCTGCGTGACTTTACTGAAAGAACCAAGAACGTGCTGAACCTTTTTACACTCAGGGCTAGTGCAGGGGTCGGCAGCCTGCAGCTCCGGAGTCGCGTGCGGGTCTTTAAAGACCACTCCGTGACGTCATTCACGCTGAAATTGCGGCTCTTGAAATGTTGAGTTGTTCTGTGCTGAGTTCGGAATGAATGGCTCTTCTTGTTATTTTGGTTTCTGAGCCCCTGGCATAGAGCAATCGGGCTTGGTAAGACCCCAGGAGATTTTATTTGGTGGCATTATCCTCTAAAGATAATTTATTGGCAAGCATGATGTTCCGCTGTTTTTGGAGGAGTAGCCAAAACAGGTCATCTTTCGTGATGTAACTTGATCGACAGCAACATTTTGATATAAATGGATGCCAGAATACAATTCTACATGAATACACATTTATAATGTCTGATTAGTTTCCCCATTTTATTTTTATCCTACCCGACCTCTGCATTGAAGCTTCTCATTCCACATAGGTCCTCTCGCCTTGCCCGTCAAACACCACCCTCGCCAACTCTCCGTCTGGGGCCTCCTGACCCATGCATGGATGGAAACCATTATTTCACAAAACACATTCCTGCGGAGGGAGCTGGTAGGAACGTTGGGTTGCTCGGTCAATGGCCAGGGTCAACGGCGGCACCACGTGGTGGTGTATTCCGCAAATATGCCCGACTGTGAGGGCGGGCACAAGCCGGCGTGAGTAGGTTAAACGTTGAGTTTTATAAGGGCACCACGGGGTGACCAGCCCCTCCCCACCCAGCCCCACCCCTCCCACCCCCCACCCAGCCCCACCCTCCCCACCCAGCCCCTCCCCACCCTCCCCACCCAGCCCCTCCCCACCCTCCCCTCCCCACCCAGCCCCTCCCATTTTTGGATGCACGACGGACGGACACAATAATCCCCCGTGGGCTGGTGGTGTAACCAGGAGGTTCCTACACAGTATAACCCAGCTCAACTGTGTGCACTGCACATAGATGTGAACACGGTGGGTTATGATTTGTGGCAAATCACTCTGCACGGAGCATGACAGAACTGTTTTGTGTTGGTCAAAGTGGCCCAGCAAAATGGACTTGAAAATATTTCCGTGGCGTGATCACGCGTTGCCATTCGCCGACGCAATGTGCGATGTTGTGCAGACTGCAGGATTTTCATGAGCATATATTTTTTCTTTCACTTCATGATGTCCCTCCCAACAACACAACACATTTGTGCTATAATAAATAGGAATACAAAATAAATCTAACAACAACAAAAAAACAGAAAGGCCTTTCCCCCCCCCCCCCCCCCACCGAGGTGTACAGAATCGCACAAAATGGAAAGTGCTTTTGCCGCGAGACTGTGCTTGCATTTTGGACCAAGGACGAAGGGGGAGTGAGAGGAGAGAGACAGGCGAGGCTTTGTGGAAGGTAGTGCATGGCTAGAAGGTGATATGCTTGACATTTAAATATGCACAGGCGATGGGCCTCAGCGTAATGTTTTAAAACTGTATGCAATGAACATATCGGCCGTGGGTTTGTGAGAGCTTGAATAACTGCATCAATTTCCCTTTCGTAGTCGTACGAGGGAGAGAACATCCTCCGTCGAGACGGGGCGATGAAATCATCCTCCGTCGGGCGTCAGGTGGATTGTCAGATCTCGCAGGGGGCCTTGGGAGATGGCAATGGCTTTGGGGGAGGCCTTCATACAGCAGCCGATTGATCATCGCTGATGATGGAGATGATACAAATGTTGCTTTACTTTCTACAGTTGAAGCAATTGGCGGGACCCCGGGGTCCCATCACTGCCCCGGGGTGGGAAAAACCGCGTAGCGACACGAATCTTGTTACCTTACCGACAACAAAACTAGTGGTCAATTGATTGGCCTCGTCGAGAGCTACTTGGGGCACTA